ATTAGCTTTACCCTAAATATATCTATAAATAACCTAGGCCGGTATACCTAGGGTTAGGTATCTAAGCGCGTATATAGCTAATATTAAAACCTAAAATATATAGCGCTATCTTATATATTTTCTTCTAATTATTATATAGAATAATATTAAATCCCTTATAATGCCCTTATATAAAGGGTTAAGGTAAAACCCGCGGGAAATAAGGTAGCTTACTTATTATAAGTACTATAAAACTCTATAAGCTTATTATAGTTTAAAATAATAAAGATATTTTACCCCTAGTCTAATTCTTTCTAGCCTATTTATATCTTTTTCCCTATATTTTTAACCTTTACTAGTATTTAATTAGCTATTAATTCTAAGAACTCTAAAAATAGGAAGCATATAAGTAGTCGCAATAGTAATGATTTTAGCCTAGCCTAGCTATATTAATAACTTCTCACGGGTTAAAAATAATATATTTAGTTAAAAAATATAGCTTTATTATTATTATTATTATAATTATTATTACTTATTATTTATTTATTATTATGCGACTATTAATAATTCGCCGGATTAAATTATATATCTTTTAGTATAGGGTATGGCTTACTCGTTGTTCTTAATTGCCGCCCTGCCTATACTATAGAAAGATTAATACTTACTTCTAGATATTACTATAAGACTATCTATCTAAGATAATCTCTTTTATAGCTATAAGCTAAGGGCTTATTCCTAGTAATATTAGTATTATTATCTCGCCTTAGTTATCTAGGATTAGCTAGGGCTTAGTTACCTATTCGGTAATATTATCTTAGTTACTAATAATTAATAGACCTAGTTATTCTTAATATTTCCCTTTAATAGTTTTTATAATAGATAGCCGACTTTAGTTATAATATAAGACTTCTAAGGAGGTAGCTAATAATTATAATCCGCGGTATTCTTTATATATATTTCGTCTTAGCGGCGGGGGCTTCTTAGTACTATCTCCTAGGCTAGAGGTAATCTAGCGAATAGCAGTAATAAAGGTAGCTACTATTAAGGATATCTTAATAGCTAGCGCTATTGCTACCGCCGCTATTATTATTATATTTAGAGTAATAAGTCTTCTTCTATAGCTATTATATGCCTATTATTATGCTATGCCCTATTTATTATATTAATTAGAATAAACCCCTATAAAGATAGGGGGCTTAATAATATAATATCCTATTATTAACAGAGTACTTTATTTAGGATATAGCTAATATACTTATCTAATAAATGCTACTACTATTATTACTAATTATTATATTTAGAAATTATAATAGTAGATATTATTCTTATTAGGATCCTCTTATACCCCTAGTATATTACTTAGATCGCTTAGAGTACTTCGCCTAATTAAGGATATCTTTTATTAGACTTATTATTTTTTATTACTTTGCGGTATTAATTAGAAGCCTATATAAGGATAGTATAATTAATATAGGTACTAAGTTTACTCGAGGCATATATGCCTCTTAATATAGGATTCTTTTTTACGTTAGGAATATTTCCTAGCTAATTATAGATAGCTTATATAATAGCTAAAGCTAATAGTCTATAATATATCTTAGTCTATGGCTAATAAATCGCGTTATCTATGCCGATATATTTAGGGATTAAATCCTCTTATACTAGATAAAATATAAAACTAATAGTATATTAGATAATATAAAATAAGCCTATTTACAGATCGCTAATATTAAAGTATTCTATATATTACTTATAATATTCTTCTAGTATTAAGTCGAGATAGTATTTTATTAAGGGATCCCTAAACTTGGTTATATAGTAATAACTATAATTAAAGACCTACTTTTCTAGGGTCTATAAACATAGGTTAAGCTAAGATATAATATTATCAGCGCTATTAATATTATTATCTTCTCTAAGCTAAGCCTACTAATTATTATCTCTATAAGTAATTACCTTAAGACTTTTAATTATAGGCACTAGGTCTTCTTATTATAAAGGCTTATTATTCTTATAAAGACTAATAATATTAGCGGGTTAAGTATTAATTTAGTATATTATATAGTCTATGACCTATACTATAACCTCGCTTTCCTCTTTTTTAATCCGCAATAAAGGCTATATATCTAGAAAATAAAGAGTAAGGTTTTATTAAAAATAATAGTAAAGATTATTATAGGCTTTCTTATTAAGCGAGGTTAAAAATCCGGTTTATTATATTACCTTTATATTTAGTTTATTAATAGAAAGAATTAATAGAGTAAAGTTATTATCGCTATTATTATTATCCTCCTTAGGATAAAAGACCTAATATATATCTATAGTATTATAGGTATTATTTTTAAGATTATAGGCTAATATAATCTAATCTAAAATCTAAATAGACTTAGAGGTAGAGGTAAAAAATACCCTTAAAGTTTTAAGTATTTAATAGAATATATTAAATTAATATTACTTATATAGGATAATAATATACCTAAGTTAGCTATATATTATTAAGGCTTAATATAAGATTATCTAAGGTAAAAAAAGTAAATAAATAAATAATAGGTCTATTATAGATATTAAGGGTAAGTTATTTATATTATTTAATCTATACCTTGCGATCTAATATTATTTTAAAATATTAAATATAGTTTTCCCTAGAGAGGTTTAATACTAATAGGTAATATAAGGTCTTTATTGCTTACTTCTCTATAGTATAATAAGATAGCTAATAAGAAAGCGAGCTTTATTTATTAGGCATAGGATATCTAATATCTTTTTCTTAATAGCCTTCTTATTAATATTTCTCTCGGTAGAAAATAAAGTAAGATCCTAATTAAAGGCAGAGATAAGCTATAATTAGATCTAATTATATATACTAGGTAAGGTAAAATCGCGATAATTAATATAAAGCTTAATATTAAGCTTAATTAGTAGAGTATCTATATATAAGGATAAGTATTATTTATTATATATATATAAATAATATATTAGGTAAAGAAGATTTATAGATTAGGGGTAATTAAGAGGGGTTATATACCTTTATTATAAAGTTTATAAATCTACTATAAATTACTTAAATTAAAATATATCTATTTCATATAGTCTTTTAGAGCCTCGATATAATACTAGCCGGCCATAAGCTTAGGTTTTTTAGTATTATTAAAGTTAGCCTAGTTTTTAAATAATAATATATACTAAGGTTAATCTTAGGTAATACTCTAATTAATATCTAAGATAATATTAATTATTTTTTAAATAATAGTAATACTATAAGAGACCTAGATATAATATTACTTAGCTTAATATATAAGGCTATTATTCTAAAAAGAGTAATAAAAATAGGCGATATAATTATAGTTAAGGGGCCTATTATTACTATAAGATTAAATAGAATAAAGGAGATAGATAGGTAGCTTAGCGATAATAAGGTAATAAGGCTCTATTTATTTCCTTAGGGAATTAACCTCGATAAAAGAAAATAAAAGAGGCTTTAATAACTTAATAGGCTTAAATAGTAATAATAAGGTATTATTAGGGATAGAAAATAAAGAGGGAGAGGTAAATAAATAGGGTTTATAGGAAAGGTAAGAAGGGGTAATTTTTAGCTATTTAGAGGGCTAGGGATTAAGGTTAGATTTAAGAGGTAAATAGTAATTAATTTTAATTATTATTTATAATAATTAATAATATTAATATAATATTACTTAATAGAGGATTATTAAGATTTATTATTTATTATTATTTTATTTAATATAAGATATAGAATTATAAAAGGGTAAAAAATAATAAATAGGAAGAGATAAGGGCTTAGGTTATTATATTAAATAGGAGGGAATAGGAAGGTTAAGGTATAGGGGGTAGGGAAAGTAATTAAATAAAAGAAAGGAAGATAGAGATAAGAGACTTCTAGGCTAGTAGTTAGTAATTAGATATAGTTAAGAAGTAGCTAAAGGAGTATAGATAGGGGTTAGGGAGAATAAATTAGAAAGGCGGAGGAGAGATAAAGGCTTAGAGGTTAAGGGAGGGGAGGGGGCATATAGATACCTAAACCTAGGTTTAGGTGGGTCTAGGGTAGAAAAATAGCAAGTTTATTAGTAGGCTTCTAAAATATTAGGGGCTCATAGTATAGATAGCCCAAAGATGTATAACTTTTAACCCTAACTGGGACCTGTTCGGGGTGTTTTTTGACTGCCATAGCGATTATGGCCTAATCTTTTGCCCTGTGGCGTAGCGGCTTAGGTGCCCCCCGCAACTGTGACTGTTCCAGATTTTTGTGACCAACTAAGCTTGCTTAGTTGGTTCGCCTTGGGGCTTGCCCCACTTGAACCAACGGGTAATTGTTGGAGAAGTGGCATGCATGATGGTGTTACATAGGCAGCCACCTCAAGGGAAGATGTCTCACGATGATACATGAATTGCCTGAACAGCGTTACAGACCTGTTGCAGGATCAGCAGATCTCGTGGCCTCGCCTCTTCAGATATAGAGACGAGGAGGGAGAACGAAGAAGAAGGAGATAACACATCGACAGATCAGTCACACACATGATGATCATCTAAAATCAATTATTCTTACTCCTCCCCTATCTTCTGACTATCTGTCCCCATTAGTATACGAACACGCGTGTCTGATAATATATACTTGCGCGGCAGAGATCCGTTCCTTGGGCTAAGATCATATCCTTACGAAGCATAGCTGTTAATTACATCTCTGTCGAGCAAGCTAGCGGCCCAGCTGTTGCTGTAATTGACCAATTTCTCAACGAGCCAAAGAGGTACAAAAAGCTGGAAAAGTTCTAGTGGGATCTAGGGCCGTGGGTTGATATGAAGCTCGCGTTTTTCGATCATGATATATTTAGCGCGCTACGGTTCAGAGAGTCATACAGATGCTATGCAATTGTATCTTGTATGGAATAGGTCTGCATTCAAACTGGCGCCAGTACAAAAGCAGGCCTAAATACACTATTAACAGATTGGAGCTGGGAACCTGCAACCGCAGAGTCACGCCTCTCGTTAACTTCAGCCCGGTGAACTCCCGGACTCCGTTCGGGCCGTGCAACATATACCAACTTACACAATGGACAATTGAAATGCCGCGCTTGAAACCAAGGGTCGATGCACTGTCTGTGAAACACATGTTCGCATTTCAATCGTCGAACGGTATCTAAGTCCCCAAAGATTTCGAGACATATCGCACTAAAATAATCTCAATAGTTAGTAGTTAAAAGAAAACAAAATCAAGAACCTACCAGACTTCTAACGAGTTAGACTTGTGCGTAGCCAAGGATGACTGCGATTTAGACGCCTGGGGAAATTTATAGTTTTGGGCTGGACTTATGGAGTTGAGAGTTTGGAGACCAGTTATACCGTTCGGGGCGTCTTCTCGACTCTCAATATCCACCTGTGCTCCTGGGTGTTGTCTTCTCTGTTTGAATATGCATCTTGATCGTCATTATAGAGGCAGAGGCAACTGGGGGGGGAAAAACACTGACGGGCTAAGGGCCATTAGGGCCACTACGGCCACTACGACCGCAGCAATTACGCCCAGCGTGGACGAAATTGAGGACCCGGAATCGGACCCGTTTGTCGTCGTTGAATTTGAGTCGCTCGTTTTGTCCATGGCGTGTGCAAAGCCTCGGGTATGCGAATAATCGCAGCGGGCATTACGTCTTGCCCGTGCCCTCTCTCAATTTATGATCGGCAGGAACTAGATCAAAGCCTCTCCAATTTGCTCCTGGCCGACTTTGACTTGCAAAAAGGCCATTTATACTTCCTGGGGTACCTTAGACGACAGTTTCATTGGCTTATAGAGGTGGCGTTCCGTTGCTTCCGTTCAGGACCACTCACGGCTGGCATCATCCTTCATTCACCTGCTTTTCTTTTCGCTAAAATCATTAGTTTCATCTTATTCCTTCACATCTTTCTCATCCCGGGCGCCATGGCTGAGACCGCCCCCATCCCTGAGCCCCCCAGTTATCCCCTCATCGGTAACTGGGGCGAGTTCACCACCACCCCGGCCACAGACTTCAACCGGCTTGCCGTTACTTACGGTAACTTGCCCCTGTTCTTTGCCCCTCGCGAGAACGAAAGCTGATGTCAACTGAAAAAGGTCGCATCTTTCGGGCACCGCACACGATGGGTGGGGCAGTATACTAATTTTCATTTGGACCACAACACCTTGTCACTGGCCGTTCAATTGGACATCGTCCGCTTTAGAGTTTTATTTGTCATTCTTGTCGTCACTCTATCGGTCGAGATCATCTCTAGTTTCTACTGAGGTACTAACAGGTGGCCATCTTGCTCACCATCCCTTGACGAGTCAGCGGCGTGCGAATTGATTTTACCCTTTTCACCCTTGGAAATGCCTAGTCCCTTAAGGGATAAGCCCGCCCTTTTGACAGATAAGTAAGTGCACGCCTAATGCCAGTATTAAAACATACAACCTGAGCTATTGAAGTGGAGAATAAAGGATCCCTAGCAAAGTTATACTCAAAGTGTCGGTTTTTTTTCGACATATTACAATGTAAATATGGGCTTTATAACGACAACTCATCTTATCATAGTGTTTCATAAAAAGCTGGGTTGCTTGAGCACGCCATTTTGGCGAGGGTAACGAAGAAGGCGACACGGTTTTCATACTACGGAACCTTGGGCTTCGACAGGCCAGGGAATGCAATTTGAGTTGTTTCTTTACGAAACCGAGATTCAAGCTTCGTCAGGTGAGGAGCTAGATAGCAGTCCGAAATTAGACTTTGTGGTTAAGAAAGTGGACAGCTGAGTCTGAGCTGACGGCACCGCCGAAACCAAAGGGTCCAACCGCAACGCAGCCGCACCACCAAGTAGTGCGTGGCATGCAGCATTGAGGCTCACGCTAACGGGGTTTCTTTTAAGGCCTGCTGGATATACGGATAATGCATCATCCTTACGATGTGGCTGCTGCAAGGTTCGCGCTACGGGGATCGACAATGAAAGTTGCTTGGAAAAGAGGCATCGATATGGGGGCCGTACGCCGTGATGGGGATGTCCTCCGAGCCCTCACATCCACAATGATATGTGAATAACTTTTGACACCTGGCGTCATAGAGAGGTGTCCGGCATTCAGCCAATCCGCCGGCACTAGGGAGTCTAGACTACGGCAATCGTCAAACATGCAACGAATTCTATCTTACCTTTAACGTCTCTAGCTTTACACACGTTCTATGGAGCCGTGTTTGGGCTGACCGCGACGAGGGAACACATCATCATGAGTCACGGTGATAAGGAATATACTAAGCCACGTTCTTAAAAAAGCTTGCGACCAACAGTGTTGCTCCCGGCCTGTGGCCTGCTCGGGGTTATGCTCCAGCGAAAGCTGCCAATTGAACTCACAGCTCTCCATGTTCCTTGTGAAGGACAAATGCCGGACGGGGGGTCCAGATATGATGGCCAGGTGCTTACCTGAACCCCCCCCCCCCCCCTTAGTCTGGGGGGTGTGTTCAAGACATGTTTGCCTGGTTTGAGTCTCCACTGTCAAATACTCAATACATTAAAGGCATGATATTCTCATTACTCGCAACGTAGATCCACCAGCCATTTTTTACGCGCCAATGCTTCCAATTGATTCACCACTTTTCCCTGGTCCCCACGATTACCGGAAACTCTGCGCAGATTTTGTTCAGGGTGCTCAAGCGCCTCCTACACACCTGCACTGACGATGTTCATCCATTCATGGTAGTACAGTATACAAACTAAGCCAACATGGATCGGTCTCAAAAAAACTCGTCCTCTGCCGCAACACATTGCGAAGATGAGAACATGAGTGAGCCTGGCCGGGCGGGCTCCCATTGTACATCGACTTCCCGAGATCCTATAAAGAGCCTCCAACATACAGTGAGCGACGGCACACACCGAACACAAGGCCCCGAGAAATCCCGGGACGCCATCTTGTCGAAACTGGGCATCTTTGACCAAACTGTAGATCCATCTAGTCCATCTTTCGATTTTGAGAGATGGTCTCACACACTTGTCAACTTGAGGAACGAACTGGGTCTTCCAACGCCGCCGCGTTCCGGGTTTGCCTTCAGGAGGTTGACCGTTCACGGTAGCGGCCCGGCCGTCGAGCAGCAAGACACTGTCTGGACGCTGCTAACCTCGCCATTTAATTTCCGGGCTTGGTTTCGGCCGAAACACACCAAAACTATTCTACAGGGCCTTGACGGGGTCGTGCAAAAGGGAGAGCTCCTTCTCGTGCTGGGACGTCCCGGAAGTGGCTGCACAACTTTCCTGAAGACAATCACGGGTGAAATGCGTAGTTTGGAGCTTGACTCAGCAGCGGTTCTGCATTACACAGGTGCGGCAAAGGCGAAAACTGGGGGCGCCAGAGCGCTAACCGGGGAAACTTAGGCATCCCTCACAGAATCATGGCTAAACACTTTAAAGGCGAACTCATCTACAATCAGGAAGTGGACGAACACCTCCCATACCTGACAGTCGGACAGACGTTGGAGTTCGCCGCAGCCATGCGCACGCCACGGGCTCGTCTCCCACGCATAACCCGAAAAGACCGGATCAAGCATGTCGTGGAAGTCATGCTGACAGTATTTGGCCTGTCGCACACTCGCAACACAATTGTGGGAAATGATTATGTGCGAGGCGTCTCAGGCGGCGAAAGGAAGAGAGTCTCGATTGCCGAGACTGCTCTCTCTGAAGCTGCTATATCCGCATGGGATAATTCTACCCGCGGCCTTGATGCCGAATCCGCCCTACATTTTGTTTGTCGGCTGCGCACCCTCTCTGACTGTGAGATATATTGCCCCTTCACATAGTCAGAAGGAAACTGGATACTAACTTCCACACAGTAACCCAATCCGCCAACGCGGCGGCGATTTACCAATCTTCCCAAGCCATAGTAGATCTGTTCGACAAGATCTTAGTGCTGTACGAAGGGCGGGGAATCTACTTCGGCCGTGCTGCGTCAGCCTCAGAGTACTTTGAACGGATGGGCTGGCAACGTCATGCAAGGCAAACATCGGGAGACTTCCTGACTGCAATCACCAACCCAGCGCAGAGAATAGCGAAGGAAGGGCACGAAAATCTCGTGCCTAGAACGCCTGAAGAATTCGAAAAGTATTGGCATGGATCGCCAGAGTATGCTTCTATTCTAGAAGAGATTGAGCAGTATCAAAAAGATTTCTACTTAAATTGGGAGGCGACCCAGAGAGAATTCGAGTCGATCCGCCATAAGCTCAAGGCGAAGGGGATGTTGGACAGAGCTGCACAGACAGTCTCGTTTCCGATGCAGACCGCGCTTTGCGCCAGAAGAGCGACCCAGCAGCTTTGGAACGACAAAGCCTCGACCTTCACGACGCTGATTGGAGAGATCATCATTGCGCTTGTGGTGGGATCAATTTTCTACGGTACTCCAGAAACTTCTGACGCCTTCTTTTCCTACGGATCCGTTCTCTTCTTCTCGGTACTCCTCAACGTCCTGATGTCCATCACAGACACCCACAACCTATACAAGGGTCGCTCAGTCGTCAGCAAGCAAGCGTCATATGCCTTCTACCGGCCGTCAGCAGATGCGCTTGCTAGCGTCCTCGTTGATATCCCCGTCAAATTCGGAGTTGCGATATTCTTCAACATTATCCTCTACTTCCTATCCGAGCTTGCGTTGACGGCTTCTCAGTTCTTTATTTTCTTCCTTTTCGTCTTCGTGACGACCCTGGCGATGTCTATGGTGTTCCGCACCATCGCCGCAGCAACTGTGACCCTCCCCCAGGCCATGGCAATTTCTGGCTTCCTCGTTCTTGCACTGATCACATACACCGGCTTTGTCCTCCCTGGCCCTTATATGCATCCCTGGTTCAAATGGATCTCGTATATCAACCCACTCTCTTATGCCTTCGAGGCATTGCTTGTTAACCAAGCACATGGGACCAACTATCCCTGCTCCAATTTGGTGCCTCCTTACCCGAACCTAACAGACGACACGTTTATTTGCCCGGTGCCTGGATCTGTGGCCGGGGAGACTTACGTGAACGGGGACGCCTGGTTCGAGACGAGCTACGACTATAGCTACTCCCACTTATGGCGCAACCTGGGCATTATTCTCGGGTTCTTGTTCTTCTTCCTGTTCACATATCTGCTGGCCTCTGAACTTAATGTGAATTCCTCCACTGGCCCGGATGTCCTTGTCTTCCTGCGTGGCTGCCTCCCC